GGTGTATGCGTTTATGTATGTATGGGGTGTGGGGTGTGGGGGAGGTGTTAGTGGCCAACCTCTCGAAGTAGGGATGGATGAGGCAATTGGAGAGGGGTTGGATCTATTGCCGTACGCCGTACAGCCTTTTCCCGCGTCAGTGAAACGACTCCGGCCGGCTTCTTCACTGGGGATGCAGTTAAAATACGGCAATACGGCAATCAACGAGATATCGCCTTCTTCCCGGGTCTCCCCACCCGTGGCGGCTCAGTGGCGTAGAATAACCCATAACACACACACACACACACACAGACGCACACGCACACCCCGCACCTCACCCACCCCAACCCTGGACCAAACCCCCACGGTACTGTACGGCACCCTGCCCTCAACCCCAACCTGGAAACCCCTCCCTCCCTCCTTCCCCCCCAACCCACCAAGTAATACGTGAACATAACCCCGCCGGTGGCAATACCAAGCAACAAAGCCACGCTACCCTACGGTACAGTACGGTGGAGTACGACAATCGTAGAGCACTTGCTGATTTTGCACGGGAGGAAGTGTCGTACATTGAGTGGTGGAGCCCCGGTTGGTAAGGATTTATTTTTCTTTCAAGTTGGTTGGAGTGTGAGCCTCCGGGTGCGGCTGCTACTATTGCTGCTGGTGCTGGTGCTGGTGATAATGATAACAGTGGAGTTAATCTACCGGTCGTTGTACCTAGGGTTTTAGGGTCGTGTAACCGTTGGTTGGTACGACGAAAGAGTCGCCGTGCGGAGAGAATGGCCCTCGCTCGTATGCAGGCCCGTGCAGGGCCGCTTCCCAAAATTTTGATTTTTGATGTGGTTGCGGTGGGAGGGGCGGTGGGAGGGGTGGTGGGAGGGGCGGTGGGAGCTGCTAAGAAAGGCTGCTTGGGAATGGAGACTGTAACGGACAAGCTAAAGGGAGCGAAAACCGGTTTACGTTTACGTAAGCCACTGTCTGTCAATACGCATTACATACGGATGGCGGATGGTGGAGGAGGTATCTTCCTTTGAGAACAAGGTTACCGGTACTAGGACTGGTCCGTGGGCCGTCAATGGACGCATTCACCAATTATGTTCCTTTGCACGTTATGGACGCTGGTGGGCCATGTGGGAGATCATCTTCATGGTGCAACATTTTGACAACACGGTGCGTTATGCCAGAAGTCAGAGGGGCGTGGGCAGCCGAGTCAGGGCGCTCGCCGGGATGGGGGAAACATACGTCGCCATCATTCAGAGTGTCCTCACCTCAGTCGCCCATTGGAACCCAGTTCGACGAATTCCATATCCGAGCAAGACAGTAAGCAAAAGGATGAACAAAAAAGCGCTTCCGCAGAGAGCATTAGCCTCAGTGGGGTCCATCAGTGGGTTCCGGAGCTCGCTCGGCATCTCACGTGCGGCTGTTCGTGCCTGCAGCGTGTCTCTTGCCCAGCTGCTTATGCAACCAATTCCAAATGCAAAGCAACCTTGTTCTTCGTTGGGCATGAGTTAGGAGAGCACGTTGAGCGCCTTGGCACCATTTTTAATATGCGTCCTGCGCGGTGGATGTGGTGCTAGATAAGGCTAGGTAGAAAACATACAATGACGCTACCTAGATATATGAGCTCCGTTGTCGTAACTTGCAAGCCCCAGGGTTGTCCGGCAATAATATCCTAGATTCGTTTGTGCACAGGTCCTTTTTCGGTGTGCTGTACAGTACGACCGTTGACTCAGTTTGCTCGGCTTGCCAACTTGTCCTGGGTTTCTCGAGACATGCCACCGCCAGGTCTCGTTGATTGTGCCTAAATCACATATATTCTGGCCGAGGTGTTAACTTAACCGAAGAAAATGGCCGACGATATAGACCGCGATGACCGCATGCAAGGCTTAGACAAGAAACGGAAAGGTCGTGGTCATCGCGACACAACGGAATGGGCAGACCGCTATGGTGGAGCACGCTTCAAGGAGCTGGATCCCAATGCAAAGCCGGGGCCAACCGCGTCGGTGGAAGGATGGGTTGTTTTTATTACAGGCGTCAATGAGGAGGCTCAAGAAGAAGATATTCACGAGGCATTTGCTGAGTTTGGGGACGTCAAGAACATTTACTTGAACCTGGACCGCCAGACCGGCTTCGTGAAGGGCTATGCGCTTGTGGAGTACAAAACGCAAAAGGAGGCACAAGCAGCAATTAATGAAATGAACGGGAAAAAGCTGTTGGAGCAGACATTGCAGGCAAGTTCCAGGAGGCTGTCGGCGACATTTCCGCCGTTGCCCGCCTGCTCCGTGCTTACCTAGGATACGTTCTTAATTTAAGTGTGTCACTGTAAATTTCCGGCCGTTTGCAGTTTGTCCGCCGATACCAAAAGCCCCGCCGTCGTGAAGCCAGCTCTCATTTGCCTTAGCTTGTGACTTTGCATGCTTCTTTGCACGTCCGCTATGCATGTATGTCCGCCATGGGTCATTATCTGAAATGGCTTATCCGGTGGGGGAGGGGTGGATGCCGGGCCGTCAGCAGGGTTAGGTGCTGCGGGGTAACGGAGCAAATAGCGTTTCCCCGGCAAGGATCCAAGGCCGCGTAAAGCGCGCCGAGGCGCATGCAGTAGCGCTGTATGCAGAACCAAGTGCTGTATTTCCCCCACCAAGTACTGCCCAAGTCGTCCATTCGTCAGCGAGTAAGTCCTGACGGCACACAACGCGCTTTTACCGCCCACTGCGGCCCCCCTATCAGGTGGACTGGGCTTTCCGCAAACCCCAGCGGCGGCGATGAGAGAGTGCACGGCCTGTGTGGGGGCCACACGCGCGGCACGGCAGCAGCGGCGGCGGCGGCAGTACTGCTTGCGAGCCCACCCAGCACACACCCCGCATGCACAGTGCACATAGGGTTTTATCTAAAGCCCGGGGAGAGCGCATGACGTGGTGGGAGGCTGCTGTCTTCCGGCCGTTTTCCTTTCACACACACAGATACATACACAGACAAGTATTTGCTTGTGCTTGGCTCGCGTTCCACATATCAGACACTGAAGCAGCGGAAGCAGTAGCATGATGATGATAGTGATGGTGGTGGTGGTGCTGCTGCTGCTCCCCAAGTGGACCTATGTATGTTCCGTATGCGTATGTGCGTGTTCCGTTTGCTATCCCGAGCCGTGAGAACGGAATGCGATGTGTTTTGTGTGTCCTCTACCGGGTGGGGGTGGGGGTGATTGGACACTTCAATGTTTCGGTGTGTATGTGAGTGAGACCTCGGAAGAGACCTCCCCTCTCCCGGACGTTGACGATAGATATGACCTTTCCGGGATATGGGGCCGTTGCTGTCGTGTCGCTGAGATTGGTGCCGCTCCACCTTCGCTACCTTTACTTGCTGCGACATGTCGCGTGTAAGATGATGCGGTTGTTTGTCTGTCTGTCTCTTGGTCAATTGTTGCTATAACAACACCGCCGTCGCGACAGGACTTGTTTGTTGACACCTGTCGTGGACTCATTGCACAGTGAAATAGGTCCATATGTCATTAATACGGCGTGTGTCCGCTATTGATTGTTCGGTGAGGGGTGTGAGTGGGATATTGAAAACCTCAAGGGGAAACGACGATCAAGGTGAGTTACAGTGTTTGAAATAATTGAAGTCTGCTGCACATAGCCACGCGGGGGGACCCCGCGTTGTGGAAAGAATATCTCTGATTGCATCATTGATCACAAGCTTCACGGATCTGATGACAACACGTAATTTCAAACATACAGCAAAACGTGACATATACACACACACATCTCGGGCACCTCGGGCCGGCACCTGCAGATTCTCAGGTTGCGATGTCTGATGCAGGATTTGTGACCGACTACCTTTTGCATTTCGGCGACGCATAGGACGACCTTTTATTATTGTAATACGGCAATTACGAATCAAACCAGTAATCCAAGTAACCCTCACATGTCTCCCCATTGAATCGAGTGGGGGGGCCACCGGGACATCGGCATATGATGTTGTAACTGCCATCTGCTGCGACACCACAATACATATGTATGGTAACTTCCAACGGTGTAGACACAACGGAAACACGACGTACGTACAACTCCGCGCACAGCTGCATCCAATGCGGTGGCGGTGGCGAGTAAGTGTACATTAACACGAAAACACAAGCCATGCACCCCGCCGTGTGCTGCCTATCCAAACGGGAGAACACAAACACAGCACGCACGACAACACGGGCGATAACACACACAAGGACGCTCGTACACTCGAGCCGTAGAAACGACTTCCTGTCCTGTCCAGGGGGGGATATAAACCCACTCCAGGACCTCAGAACTCGACGGGAAGAGGCCCCAGCCACACACCCTCACAGCGCCTGCAACCCCCCGCCCCAACCCCATCATCACCGTAGCCCTCCCCTCGACGGGCAGATAGACCACGACTGCGAAATAAGTTAGCACCTCAACAGATGACAGTTGGCACGTGATTGGATGTCGTTGAAAAGCCGGACGTTGATACCCTGGACAGCGTCGATCCCCGGCTGCAGCGGCGCCGGCGGGGTGCGGGGCCGCCTGGCTAAGCCGCGACGGCCCCCATCTCGTCTCGAGTCGTTGTGCGGGCAGAACCGGTGAACACTCGAGTAAGGACTGCGACGGCGGCAACTGTGCAGATAAGACAGACAGATAGATACATGCGTGCGCCGCCCTCACACGACGTAGCCGCTGGTGGTGATGGAGTCCGCCGAGCCAAACGTCTCGTCCCAGACCGTGTGGTACCAGCCCTCCTTGTCGAAGCGCTGGTAGGTGTGCGAGCCGAAGAAGTCTCGCTGAGCCTGAACCAGGTTGGCAGGCAGCTTCTCCCTGGGGGGGGGGGGGAAAGGGCAGGGAAGTCCAGGAGAGTTGGGGGTTTTGGGCGTTGANGGAGAGACCATCCATTGGGATGAGCACTTAGGGGACAGGAAGTGATTATATGGAACCGTTCGACCCGTTCCTATGTTCGCTTGCTCCCCTTTGCCCTCAAGAAGGGCAACGACAGCACAGGGAGATGTGGGCCCTATGCGGCTGTATCGAGGGGCACGTTCCCCCCCTGCCGGCTGCCCTCGTCCCAGGCCCCCTCCTCGCCTGCCCCACTCCCCTTTTCCCGCCCTTTCCGTACCTCCGGTACGTGTCAAAGTACGAGAGGGATGACGTCATTGACGGGATGGGCACACCGTGTGTGACGGCCAGCGCCGCCACCCGCCTCCACGCTCCCTCCGCGGCCGCCAGCTCCTTAGCGAACTCGGGGTCCACCAGCAGCGAGGGCAGCTCCGAGTTGCGCTCGTAGGCCTGACGGATGCGGTCCAGGAACTGGGCGCGAATGATGCAGCCGCCCTGCGGGGGAGGGAGAGGGGGCGGGGGTGCAGAGGGACACCGAAGGCGGGAGAGGGGTGGGGGGTAGGCACAGCCACATGCCGCTGCAGGATGACGAGGCCACTCTCTCACTCGCCCCCTTCCCCGCATCACTACATCCCCAGCGCTCCCCTATCCGCCCGCCGAAACATACATACATACATACATACATACATACATACATACATACATACATACATACATACATACATACATACATGCATACATACATACATACATGCATACATACATGCACCCATCCTCTTCTCCCCCCGCACTTTCCAGATCCTTGCCAGACCCCCCAGGTCGATGTTCCAGTTCTTCTCCACGGACTTGGCCTTGATGATGTTCATGCCCTGGGCGTACGAGCAAATCTTGCTAGCATACAGCGCCGCCCGCACGTCCGCCACAAGCTGGGCCTTATCCACTCGGGGCACAGCACCCGGCTGGGCGCACGAGGCGAACACCTGAGGGGCCGGTGGGGGGCCGGTGGAGGAGTGGTCGTTGCGGTGGCATGTGATTGCATGTGGGCGGGGGTAGGGGTAGGGGGGAGATTCATATGCAAGGAAAACTAGATATGAACTGCAACAGCGCCCAAGGGGGAAGGGGGAAGGCGGAAAAGAATCCACCAAATCCACCACATTCTAATACACTGCTACCGACCGACCGACCGACCGACCGACTCCAACCGTGACGGTCTTGTCGGGGGGGGTGCGGGGGGAAACTTGCCTTGGATGCCGCCACGCGCTCGGCCTTCAGCGCACTGAGGTAGCGCGCGTCCAGAGCTGATGCCATGGTGGGCGCTGCCACTGCCAGCTCAGCTGCCTGTTGTACGGTCCACTTGCCTACGAGGACAGGGCGGGGGGTGGCGTGTTGCGGGTGGGGTGGGGTGGGCCCGGAGGGGGAGAGGAGGGGGGTGGAGGGAGAGAGACAGACCCGCAGGGGTCACACACACACACACCACAACACAACCGGGATTAACGCTTCAAACACATGAGCTGCGTTCCTAGGGGGCCAGGAGGACATACAGACGAACCTCCTCTTAACACGTGTGTACGTACTCGACACGTATATACAATCAGCTTCATTGACGCTTCTTGCCAACAGCTACCTGCCAACCGCTAACTACCAATTACCCAGTTCCCCGCTTCCCCAGTGCATATCCCCTCCTCCATCGTGCCGGGGTGCTCCCCCCCCTTTCTCCCTCCCCCGAAACACACACACACACACACACACTCACCCGTGCCCTTGGATCCCGTCTGGTCCACAATCTTGTCCACCAGGTAGCCGGGGGCCTGGTCGTCCGGCTTGTTCATAATGATGGCGCTGATCTCCACAAGGAAGGACTTGAGCTCACCCTGACGGGGGGAGCGGAGGGGAGGGGTGCGCGTGTGGGGGGTTGAGAGGGTAACGCAAACCACCGACGATTGAAGCAGACACCAGAGATGGGCGGATGTACTCCGCGCAGGAATACGTACACGGACACTGCTTCAGGAATATTTGTAAGTTGTTGCCAACCAGGAGTGACTTGGGGGTGATGGGGGTGGCTGTGGTGGCGCTTCTACTCTTGTTGACGACTGGCAACTGCCCGCTTGTAATGCGCCGTACCGTACCGAGCCGTACCGTACCTGGTTCCATTCCTTGAACACCGCCGCCAGCTCCTCATTATCGAGACCACCAAGTGTTTTCAACACGTCGTACGCCTGTAGTACAAGATGTAGATACACAAAACGTCAACATCTTCAGAAAAAACTCAATGTGCACCTCAGATCATTGAGGACTTGCATACACAAGACAGACGGACATACATGATGAGATGGACATGCCCGTGCGCATACCGGTTCGTACTCTACACTTTACTCGGCAAACCAAAGGCGCTCAACGCCCGTCATGTCCCTCCCCCTCCCTCCTTCCCTCCCTCCCTCCTTCCCTCCCTCCCTCCTTCCCTCGTCACCCCTTCCTCACCCCTCACCCTCTACCTCCTTCCTCGCGGCGCGGGGAACGCTTCGCCTCCAAACACACCCCCACCCCGCTACCCAGCCCCACCTCGCTGATGAGCTGCATATCGCCGTACTCAATACCGTTGTGAACCATCTTAACGAAGTTACCCGCACCGCCGCCGCCAATGTACATAACGCAGGGGCCGTCGTCAACCTGCCGAGGTGCGAGGTGAGGTGAGGTGGAAAACACACATAAACGTACATACATACGTGCAAAAATACATACATACATACAAAACTACGTATAAACATACATGCAAACAGACATACATGCATGCGCACACGGTCCGTTTAGCCGCCCACAGCGTGGACAACAAGAGAAAAGAGCAAGACGCGACGGTGAACAAGGTGATATGACGGACCCCACCTCCTCTCTTCCTACACCTACGCCACCGCCTTCTACACTGTTCTTTGAGTAGAGGCGGTGAGGCGCCTCGCAGTAACCGAATGCAACGGACCGACGCCCGACTGAGGCCCAACTGCGCAACAACACCCGGGTAGTAATGCGCCTTTGCTGTGGTGCTGCTATCCCCAGGTCCCCCGAACCAAGCGGTGGTGGTGGTGGTGGACTATCAGAGGCACCCAGAGGATTAGATCAGCAGCACCACTGAGCACCACCGACAGCGGTTGTAGCAGTCAACGCAACAGCAAGTGCTACAGCCAACATCCCCAGCTGCTGCAAGTCATAAGGCCCGTCGCGGAAGTCACACTGGCAGTGTAATACACACGAGGAGCAGACCGACAGACAGACAGACCGACAGACCCTAAGCTAACACCCCACCGCGACCCGGCCCCTTGAACTTCCCCACCCCCCGGCCCCGACCACACGCACACATACCTGTGCCGCCACCTTCTCCACGATTGACTTGATGTGGGTGTACGCCTCGGGACTACCCCCGGGCATCATGGAGGGGCCTGAGCACACGGTCGGTGTGGGAAGCACACGTATGTATGTACGTAGGTAGGTAGGGTTGTGACGGGAAGCCCTCTTGCGCCCTCCTGAACCCCTAACGGCCACCGACAAGCCCGCGGAGAGACATACATACATTAACATACACTCACAGCGTGCATGTGCGTCTAACCCGATTATATGTCGCGCCCTTTCGCGCTGTGCTCTCTCACATACGCTCCCCCTCCCTCCCTCCACACACATCGTTCAGTACATCCCCACCATGCCGTACATCCCCATCATGCCGTACTTACCCCGGCGAGCGCCCTCCTCGCCGCCAGAGACGCCCATGCCCATGTACAGAATACCCTTCGACGCCACCTTGGCCACGCGCTTCTCCGTATTTTCGTACCTGCGGAGGGGAGAGGGTAAGGCAGGGGTATGAAGGCAAAGCACCTGTTCAGCAAGCCGCAGGTCAAGGTCAAACGGGGCTTTGGTGGAATAGGACGAGTTGGTCAAGGAGCGTGAAAAAGTGCAACCTCTCTTTAGGTATTCTGCAGCTTAGAGAAGTGCTCGGTATGTGTAGGCGGTATGAGCTTCAGTTGTATCGTTCCGCAAGTTTGTATGTAATTGTAATGACAGGGTAGGCTGTTGAGTTGTGTGATGATGATCACCTCCCTCGATGCTGTACTCACCATTCATTGCCACCATCGATAATAATATCACCCGGCTCCATGTACTCGCAGAGCGCATCGATTGTCTGGTCGACCGGTGCGCCGGCCTTGACAAGGATAATGACACGCCTACGGGGCGATGACATTTCAATGCGAGCCCTTGACAGACTGACACAAACGCGATGCAATTGTTACCTTGGCTTCTGCAGACTCGCCACGAAATCCTTCACTGACTCATAGCCACGCAGTTTGTCGCCGAGGCCTGCACCCATGGCCGTTCGCGGTGTCTCCGACAGCCAAACAACAGCACGCAATCAGGCACTTACCCTCTTTTTGCGCACGCTTCACAGCGGCCTCGGTTTTGTCATAACTGCGATTGTACACCGAAATCGGGAAGCCTTTCTCGGCAACGTTGAGGGCCATGTTCTGCAACAAACCAGCAAGAACGCGTAAGTCACCGTCTAGAGCCGGAGCACCATTCAATCGTAATTTCCATTACCTGGCCCATTACAGCCAGACCGACGAGACCGATCTCGGACACCGCCATTGGGGAACTTTTGTCGCTGAAAGAGAAAGAGTTGGTTTGCACTTGATGATAGTTATCCGATGTTTCTAATAAGATATTTAAATAGATTTCTAATACCTGGCGCGCGGGGCCTCCGCAGTAGATGCGGCATGAGGGACCACACGACGCACGAAGGGGGCTGGTCTCGGTAGCAGCAGGACGGCAGGGACGGCGGTCCAAGGGACGTGGAACGGCGCCACACTTCGGAACGCCGTGTTTGTAAGAGGAACTTCCCGGATACGACCACCTGTTTGCTGAAGCTTGCTGCTCTTGAGGATGTTAGCGTTCATCTTAAGGGTTTTCGTGACCAATCACAGCGATTGAAGAGCAGAAAGCTAGCGAGCAAGACCTAACCTCACACCTACTGTATATCTGATGACAATGCGCTCTCTTTATACTGTTTGGAAAAACAGCCGCTTGTAAGAGTGCGAAATGTACGGATAGAGGCCCCCAAACCTAAAGGCCCAACAAACTTAACGACTTGTCTCCTCAAAGGGTGCAGAATCATGATGGAAGGTCCCAACGGTACTTTGCATCGGTTCTACATGCGCATAGTGTGCCCCTGTCGACAACCTGCTCCTTCGGGACCCAATGTCGGGACCTCCAAACCCTCGACCATCACCTCTACCTAAAACGCTACACTGCAATGAGGTTGTAATGACCAGCTTCAACTTTTACAGCAGCATTGTGCTTAGGAGTGCATGAACAAGCCCCCTGCCTGACCATGTGTCGGAGAGCCGTCTTCCGAGACCCCTTGCGCAGGTTGCGTGGGCAGCAACGTAGTACCAATTTTGTTAAAACCCTTGCGGTTCATAAACATTTATTTTGTTGTTGCGCTCCAGCAGGAGCATCCTGACAACAGCTCCCAAGGTTTATGTCCTTCTAGGCATTTGGATCATACGGTTGCTGCGATTAATTAAGTAATTTGCTTGTGTACTATATATACTAGTTACCATGATAGATGCGAACTGCTGGTAACCTTCAGTAATACTCAAGTTGGTTTGGAAGCACAGCATCAAACGATTGGCATCACGACCCCACAGGACTGAACATCGTCTATACTGAAAGAAGTAAACAACCAAAGTATGTCCTTCCAGGACCTTGGGCTCGACCCAAGGCTTCTTAGGGCCTTGGGCAAGCGTGGCTTTACAAAGCCAACACCGGTGCAGCTCGAAGCAATTCCGAGAACGCTAGAGGGCAAGGATGTCGTCGCTCGCGCGCGCACGGGAAGTGGCAAAACGATGGCATACTTGCTTCCTTTGCTACACAAACTTCTGTCGACGGATAACATAAGCGGAAGCTTCAGAGCAATCGTCCTCGTTCCAACGCGTGAACTTTGCCAGCAGGTGGGTCTTTTAAGTTTCCGGCCGCCGGCGCCGCCAACGACCAACGTCCGCGACTCCCAGCACCCCCTTCATTCGCCCCCATCGACGCATGACTCCATGCGCGTGCATCCCCACATGCTGCCCCGGACCCCACTCCGCGCCCTCCTTGCATCTGGTCCCGAACGCCCAAAGCCCCCGGATGATACCCCCGGACTCCGCAACACCGATGGAGGGGGGACGAGGGTCATGCGGGGGAAGTGATGAAGGGGGCTACGAGGGGGGATGCGCGGCCAGGAAGGCCCAGCCCCACCCCGCATCCCTGACCTCACCTCACCTTCCCCACTTCCCCCCACTCCAAGCAGCCGCAACAGTCTTTCCTTGGATTTATCAGCTTCACTCGCTTGTGGTTCGCCTTTTCCCCCCCCCCAATCCCCAATCCCCCGCTCCCCAATCTCCAACCTCGCAGGTGGCTCAGGAAGCAGCAGACACCGCTCAGCACTGCGGTGCCGACATCTCGGTAGGCAGGGAGGGAGGGGGGTACCGGGGGCCCTCCCCTCCCCTCCCTGGGGGGCGGGGGGGGGCGGGTGAGTTGGGGGGTTGGAGTGGGAAGGAAAGAAGAAAGTGGGATGTTAGGAAAGACAACTCGACGTGACTGACCCACCTTTCCTCAGCCCTTTTGGCGCTCTCCTGGATAGTCTGCTGCCTCCGCGTCCTCCGGTAGCACCCCCGCCGTCTCGCTCGTCCCATCCGCACACGAGCCTCTCGCCCGCCTGCGCCCTTCCCTGATTGGTGTGCTGTGGTGTGGTGTGCTGTGGTGGCCGCCT